GATTGTGCCCCTCCTACTGTCTCACTGCAGCTTCTCCTTTGTCTTTGGATGTGGGGTATCTTTTTGGTGAGTTCCAGTGTCTTCCTGTCAATGACTGTTCAGCAGTTAGTTGTGATTCTGGTGGTCTTGCAAGAGGGAGTGAGCGCATGTCCTTCTACTCCACCATCTTGAACCAATGTCCCTGGTAATTGTATTTTTAAGTTTATTATTTAAAAATGCCAGAACAATTTTCAAAGTGGTCATACCATTTTAGTTACTGTTTGCATGGTATATATATTTCTCATCCTTATAGTTTCAAAATATTTGTGTCTTTAAATCTAAAATGTGTCTCTTGTAGATTGCATATAGTTGGGTTTTTTTTTTAACCCATTCTGTGAATCTCTGGCTTTTTTTTTTTTTTTTTTTTTTGTGGTATGCGGGCCTCTCACTGCTGTGGCCTCTCCCGTTGCGGAGCACAGGCTCCGGACGTGCGGGCTCAGCGGCCATGGCTCACGGGCCCAGCTGCTCCGTGGCATGTGGGATCTTCCCGGACCGGGGCACGAACCCATGTCCCCTGCATCGGCAGGCAGACTCTCAACCACTGTGCCACCAGGGAAGCCCAATCTCTGCCTTTTAATTGGAATATTTAATTCATTTACATTTATTTATTTATTTATTTGCCACACTGCTTGACTTGTGTGATTTTAGTTTCCCTACCAGGGATTGAACCTGGGCCCTTGGCAGTGACGGCACACGGGGTCCTAACCACTGGACTGCCAGGGAATTCCCTAATCCATTTACATTTAATGTAATTACTGATAAGGTAGTATTTAAACCTGCCATTTTGCTATTTGCTTTCTAAATGTCGTATGTTTTTCTGTTCTTCTATTTCTCTATTACTGCTGCCTTTTGTGTTAAATATCTATTATATTTTCTAGTGTACCATTTTAATTACCTTGTTATTTCTTTTATTATATATTTTTTGATTATTTTCTTAGTGGTTGCTCTGGGATTTTAATTACCAATGTAGAACAACATAGCTTGGATTAATACTAATTTAATTTCAATAGTATACAAAACTTTGCTACTATATAGCTTCATTCCCTCCCCCACCTTTATGCTACAGTTGTGATACAAATTAGATCTGTATACATAATATGTCTATCAACACAGACTTATAATTATTGCTTTATGCAGCTGTATTTTAAGTCAAATAGGAGAAAAAAGGATTATGAACAAAAAATATATTTATACTGTCTTTTATAATTACTTATATAGTTACCTTTACAAGTTTCCTTTATTCCTTCATGTGGATTTGAGTTATTGTCTAGTTTCTTTTCATTTCAGCCTGAAGGACTCCCTTTAGAATTTCTTGTATGGCAAGTTTCCCAGTGACAAATTCTCTTTATTTTTGTTTATGCATATATTTTGGAATGTACTAATTTCTCCTTCAGTTTTGAAGGACAGCTTTCCTAGGTATAGAATTCTTGGTTGACAGTGTTTTTCTTTCAGCATTTTGAATATGTCATCTTACTGTTTTCTGCTTCCATAGCTTTGGTTGTGAATCTTATTTAGGATTATGTGATGAGTAGCTTCTCTCTTGACACTTTTTTTTTTTTTTTTTTTTTTTTTGCGGTATGTGAGCCTCTCACTGTTGTGGCCTCTCCTGCTGCGGAGCACAGGCTCCGGATGCGCAGGCTCAACGGCCATGGCTCATGGGCCCAGCCGTTCCGCAGCATGTGGGATTTTCCCGGACCGGGGCACGAACCCATGTCCCCTGCATCGGCAGGCGGACTCTCAACCACTGCGGCACCAGGGAAGCCCTCTTGACACTTTTAAGATTCTCTTCTTGACTTTGGCTTTCAACAGGTTAATTATAATGTGTCCAGGTGTGTATTTCTTTGAGTTTATACCACTTGGAATTTATTAAGCTTCTTAGATGTGTGGATTAATGTTTTTCATCAAATTTGGGAAGTTTTTGACCATTATTCCTTCAAATATTATTCCTTTCCTTTTATATTTCTCCTCTCTAGAACTCCAGTTATACATGGTATGCTTGATTGTGTGTGACAGCCCTCTGGGGCTCTGTTCATGCATATTTATTCTTTTTCTTTTTTTCTGGTACCCAGACTGGATAATCTCAAGTGACATATATTCAAATTTGCTGGTTCTTTCTTCTGTTAGCTCAAGTCTGCTGTTGAGCCCTTTTTTTTTGAGAGTTATGTTTTATTTGGCAGGAATTTTTAAGGCTTCCAGCCCAGGAGGTAGCATCTCAAGTACGCCTGAGAGAACTGCTCTGAAGCGGCGAGGAGGGAGCTAGGATATATAGGAGTTTTGGAACAAAGGGCAGGTAGTTGGAACATCAAAAGATTACTGTTAATTAAATAAACCCAGCTATCCCAAGTTAAGGAATTTAGCACTTTTCTATGTATGGGAAGATGCAGGAGTCTAGGCTCACTGAAATCATTCCTTTGATATGTACCTCAGTTATCTGGGGTCAGTATCCTGTGTTTTCATATCCTCAGTTTCCTCAAGGTGTTGAGCCCTTCTTATTTTTCACTTCAGTTATTATACTTTTCAACTCCAGAATTTTTGTTTCTTTTTTTTTCAAAACAATTTCTTTATTAATGTTACTTATTTGGTGAAACATTCTCATCATACTTTCCTTTAGTTCTTTAGACATGGTTTCCTTTAGCTTTGTGAACATATTTAAAATATCTTAAAGTCTTTATGTAATATGTGCTTCCTCAGAAATATTTTCTATTGATTGTTTTTTCTCCTGTGTACAGGCCATACATTCTTATTTCTTTGCATGTATCATCCTTTTAAACTTTTGTATTTTGAAAACTGGACATTTTGAATAATACAGTGTGGCCACTCTGGAAATCATATTCTACCCTCTCCCCAGGGTTTTTGCTGTTTTTCTTTGTTGTAGTTATTGTTGATGTAGTGAATTTTCTGAATTCATTCCTTAAAGTCTGTGTTCTTTGTTGTGCATAACCACTGATGTCTTTGCTCAGTTAGCTTAGTGGTCATCTGATGACTGGACAGGGATTTCCTTAAATGTCTTCAACCAATACGTTTCCTAGTCTTTGTGGAGGGGCTTAGTATGTGTGTTGGGGTGTGACTTCAACAATCAGCCAGGGAGTATACAACTCTATTTTTGTATTCATTTCTTGCTTGAGAGCCTCAAGGTTAGCTCTAACCTTAGCCTCAAGGTTAGCCAGAGGTGAGAGCTTAGAGCCTTCTCAGGTCTTTCCTGAGCATTCACACAGCCCTAGGCATTCACACAATCCTAAGCATGCATATTACTTGGATTCCCTGAAATATGTCAGAGTTTTTCAAAGTCCCTATGGACATCACATTCCCCAGCTAAATAGTATGGCTGGAGCAACGGTGCTTCAAACAAAGATGAGAGTTTTTTTTTTTTTTTTGGTACGCGAGCCTCTCACTGTTGTGGCCTCTCCCGTTGCGGAGCACAGGCTCCTGACGCGCAGGCTCTGCGGCCATGGCTCACGGGCCCAGCTGCTCCGTGGCATGTGGGATCTTCCCGGACCGGGGCACGAACCCATGTCTCCTGCATCGGCAGGCGGACTCTCAACCACTGCGCCACCAGGGAAGCTCAAAGATGAGAGATTTTTGACCTCTGTATTGGATGTGGAGCCACTGCTGAAATTTTAAGCAAAGAAGGAGCATGACTGTATTTGTATAGCAGAAAGAACCTTTGCCAATGAAGCGGAGAATGAATTATGGGCAGACAGACTGGAGGCAGAGAGATCAAGGAGATTAATGCAGTATTTTAGGAAAAGAGTAATGAAGGCTTGAGTTACGGTTGGAATACAGAGAAAGGAGAAAGAGGAGGGGTGGATTGGAAAATCTATTTACAGATTAGACCCTTCGTGATTTCCAGGGTGTTTCATTGGGAGGCCAGTGCGAACAGGTAAATCAGAGGTAAGGTCTGTCTATTCTCAGATCTGATGAGGGAAATTAAATGGAGGATGGGGTCATCTACCAAAAAAAAAAAAAAAAAGGGAGGAGGCACAGGTTTGAGAGAAAACATAAAGACAGGGATCCAAATATAATTAACATTACCTGTGATTGAAATAATTTATGTATTTTTTAGATAAAGATCTTTGAGTGGGAAATTCTGTGTAATTGTGCCACTCAAACAGTTTTGGATTCAGATGCCACAATCCTTCCTTTCCCTCCATCCAGTAGATTCATCACCATTCTTGATTTAGGAATGCTTTAAAGATGCTAGTCATTTGGAACGTATCTGACAAAGTGAGAGGGACTTGGTAAACGTGCTGCCCTAAACAGAAATGTGATATAAACTTGTCAATAGTTATTTCTTGGGCGGTTTTGCTCTCTGAAAACCTAGCAGATAATGGGTGAAACGTTATTGGTGATGATAATTACCTGGAGAAACGTGAGTATATGATTTCTTAAACCTTGTAAATTAAATTGGGCTTAAAATAGATGGTTTTACCACTAGGGAAATGGTTGTTTTCCTTGAAATTCAACCTTTGCAAATTGGTAAAGACAAGAAGGTGGGTAGACTACACTATGGAAAAGAACATCCGACCGATTTCCACTCTTTTCACACCTCTCCCTTTTTTTCTTTTGCTTCTCAGATGACCAAATTAATCTTAGTCCAAGTGAACCTTCTGGTTTTGACGTAGGGCCGCGGTGAACACTAAAACGAAGAAAGGAGTTCCGGTCTTCGCGTTCCTGCAGTTTCATCTCGGCGCCAGCCGGGCGCGCAGAACTGGGGAGGGAGAGGTGCGGGCAGAGAAGGGAGGATGTCGGAGAGGCGGGAGCGGCCCTAGCGCTAACTTCCGCCCCACCCTCCAAGCCGGGACGCCTGAAGCAGGCGGCCCGCGTTGTCTGTCCCGGGCGCTCCTCCTGGGACGCCCGCTCGACTCCCGAGTCGTCTTCAATTGGCCGTCGGGGAAACGGAAGCCGAAGCGGCGCAGTGAACCCGGAAGTGCTTCACGGCGGAGGCCTGGGCGACTCTTTTGAATGGAATCGGGCTGATTCATCGCAGGTTCGCGGAGCCAGAGCTCGGCCGAGTCGGAGCTTGCTGGTGTTGCTGTCGCTCTCGCCGCCGCCGCTGCGTCACCGCTGCTGGAAGACAAGGGTCCAGACCGCGGCCTCCTGCTCCGCCCGCCTTCAGGTAAGACGGGGAACGCAGGCCCCAGAGGTCCGCGGAGGCAGCCGCGCTAGGCCGCTGCCAGCGCCTTGCTTTCCTGAGTCACGTTGCTCAGCTTAGTTTCCACTGGGGTCCCGGGCGTGAGGGTGGAGTCCAGCTCCCTTCGTCCTACACGCTGTCTCCCTGGGTCTCTGACTAAGTTAGGTCTGGATGTGGTCTCCTTCCAACAAGCGTTTCTGCTCCGCTGAATTCACCACATCTTGGGAGCCTCTCCTCTCTATTCAGAGAGGACCCTTAGTTTTGGCTTCTGTTTGTCTGTGTTCTGTTGAAACTTACCCCTGTGTTGAAAAACTTCCCGCCAGACAGGAAACAAGGGCGAGAGAATAAAATTAACTTTCCCGTTGAATGTATGTTTGCTTTATCACTTGTGTTAACCTTAGGCCTTGACCCCTTTTCTCATAGTGTTAGGTTTTCAGCTGCCTTCAAAAACAAACAAAACCCCAGAGGTGCATTGTTTTTTAACCTTGAAACTCTTTAAAACAAAGTATGGTTATTCCTGCTCTGCCTTTTAACTTAACTTTCAGTTTGTCCCACTTGAGTAGTTGTTGATGAATTGATTACATTTCCTGTTTTCAGTAAAGTAGAAATCTGCTACTGTGTGTTACATCTTGGAACTTAATTTTCCTGGGGGCACTACTTTGTGTCAGGCAAAGAAGAAAAATGTAAATTTCTCGAAGGAGTTTGAATATAAACCTAGTGACCTAAGGAAAAATTCTTGAAATTAAAATGGTATCCAAAAGTTGGGAAAGGCAAGGAAGAGGCTTTAAAAATTAGCAAGAAATGTACTTCTAGAGTGAAAATCATTTTTTTCATTGCTCACAAAAGTATTTAGTGCTGCAGACTTAATGTTTGTGAGTAAGCAAGACGATAGCCACTGATAATGTTGAAATAAAAAAGAACTGAATACAGTTATAGTGGAGATGATTAATATAATGGTGGCCTTCTAGTCTTGTCCTATAAAGCTAGCAACTGGCTCATTTGAAGTTTAAATTATGTGTCTTTTAAACATATAAATTTAAATGGGTTATTGTGCATTTGAAGAGATTAAGATACATGGTGGCTCAGAATTAACTACAAGATGTGTTTAGTGAAGTGGTATTTAGTGAGAAGCCTGAATATTGTCTTGAATTCGTCCCAGGACAGAATTGCATCTGGCCAACAGAAGAAAGTTTTGAAGTCATGATCTTTCAATGAAGCCTCACCTGTTGAGTTTGGGAGATTTTTTTTTTTTCCCCCCAAGGGTCTTGATAAATATTATATTGCTGTTTTAATTGAAAAGCTGGATTTTTAACCTGTTTGACATGGGTTTATTCTATTTTTATACTTGTCTGTAACCCTTGTGTTTAATATCTAATTTCAGAACCCATGTTTGAAAATCAATAACAAGGAGCAATTGTGCTTCTATTTAATTGTTTTAAATTTTATAGCAATGTTTGTTTCATAAGTCATTGTCTACCTGTGAAAGCCTTACCTGAATACTTGTGATTTAGTACTCATGAACTTGTCATATACCCGGTTTGTTGCACTCATTTGACACTCATTCTGTTTTATGGTATTTTGGTGTCCCCATCTGTAAAGTGAGAATTGGATTAAATAATCTTTCCTGGCTCTAAGATAAATAACAATAACAACAGTTACTGAGTACCTATGAATGTTTCAGGCACTATATTAGGTGCTTTGCATTTTTTTCTTACAACAGACTTGCAAGGAAGATATTATTCTCATTTTATAGATGAAGTCTAGAGGCTAAGAGAAGGTAACTTGTTCACATCATATAGAGGGTAGGTGATGAAGCCAGGATTCAAATCTAGGTCTGATTGCCTCCAGAGCCTTTCTGGCTCAATACTACTATTCTTTCACTTTATGTTTTTTCTATGGGATTATATCATGCCTCCCTAGGTAGATTGTAAATTCTTTCAGTGAAAGTCACTAAATTCCTTAGTGGCTCTGTTTCCGTATCACCTTATAAACAAGATAGTATTTAATAAATATTTTGCTTCAGTGCTGTAATTAAGAGCTAGCACAAGAAGATATTCATGATAATTCCATCCTCACTGTTCTAAACAGGGGGAATCTTACTTTCAAAACCTTATTTATATAATTAAGTTTAACGTTGACTCTTTCCATTTTTTCCACTGAAGAAAGCCCTTAAGAAAGTGAGAGAAAGAAGTTCCTAATTACTTTCCACAAATCAGACAGTAGAGGAATTAGAAATACAGTGAGATCACAAATATGGAGTAGTTAAAGGATTTAGCATCAATCTGAGAAGTAATAGTATATAACTGCAGCATGGGTTGAGGAGTAAAAAATGAAAAATGAGCTAGGAAACAGTAGAAAAACCTGAACAGATAAGGGCTTCATGATTTTGTTAGCTCAGTTGTGAGATGAAGAAGTGGAAAATCATCAGCCCTTTTTTTTTTACCAATTAGGATTCTAAACATTATGTATGACATATTAGGCATAAACACTTTATTCATATTATCTCATAATGTTTTAGTTAATCATATCATGAATAAGCTGTTGAGTCCTCTGCTTTTTGATAGGTGTAAAAACTTGGTTTAGATCCATAGACCTTTTGCATTGCTTTTATTTCTAAGCACTGGAAGTATTCTTTTATGTTCTAGTGTAACACTTTTAATTTTTATGAACCCCTTTGCGAAGTTCTGCAAAATGCAAGTCCCTCTTCTCCAGTGTGATTCATTTAGTACTGTGAAATATGCCATGTTTTGAAATTCACTAAATGGCAAACTCTATGGGAAGAAGAACCCATGCTGGATGAACTGTAGCTATGCTCAGGATGGTGGTGCTGATGACAACAGCTAGCATTCATTGTTTACTTGCTATGTGCCATCATTGTTTACTTGCTATGTGCCAAGCCTTGTGTTAAATGTTGTTTATCTTCATTATCTTATTTAATTATCTAAACACCTCTATGAGGTGGATACTATCATTATCCCTATTTTGCAGATGAGGAAACTGAGCCTGAGAGAGGAAACTGACCCAAGGATACAGAGCTAAAACGTGTTAGAGCCAGTATTTGAATCCTGGCACTTAGATTGCAGACTCATAGCTCTTAACCTCATATAGCAAGAAAAACAGTCATCACCATTTACCATCTGGGCCAGTAGACCTTTTAAAATTTCTTACACCTTTAAGTCATTTGAAGGTGTATGTACCTGAAATGGACAACATTGTTGGAATGTAATTAACTGCTCGTCATCCATCATGCATGAACCTGGAACATACCCATCTTATAAAGATCAGTTCCACATTTTAAATATGTCTCTAATAGGCCCCAGCTTATCTTTTCTTTTGGTTCTACTTGCACTCGCAATACTTTGTATGTGTGTTAAAATATGCCTATCATAAAATTTACCATTTTAACCATTTTTAGACATACAGTTCAGTGGCATTAAGTTCATTCACATTGTTGTGCAATCATCACTACCATCCATCTCCAGACCTTTTTCATCTTCCCTGATGCAGTACTTTTTAAAACAAGCTTATAATTTTGTTGAAGTGGAGATGTCCATCATCTTTGCTTATAAAACATTTTTATTTTTAGATTTATAAACACCAATTAGAGTTAATCCAATGATTTTTTAAAATTTCTACATTCTTTTACTCACCTTTGTGTACACTTCAGCATTTGTCCACTTATCAACTGTATCAACATCATAAAAGATAACAGAATATGTCATCTCTTTATCAAAACAGGTTCTTGTTGTAAAATAGTGTATAATGAAGTCCTTGTTGAATACTAACTGGATGAGAATGTCATATTTCCTTTCTGGTCTTAGAAATATATTGTTCAACTCATTGATCCTTTAAAAAGTAATTTTTCGAGGTAAAATTCACATAACACAAAACTAACCATTTTAAAGTGAACAGTTCAGTACCATTTAGTACATTCATAATGTTGTGCAACTACCCCCTCTATGTAGTTCCAAAACATTTTCCATTCTTCTAAAGTAAAATCCCTTACCCATTAAGCAGTTTCTCCATTTTATTCCCTCCCTCAGCCCCTGGCAATCACCAACCTGCATTTTGTCTTTGTGGATTTATATATTTTGGATATTTCATGTAAATGGAATCATACACTATGTGACTTTGTGTGCATGGCTTCTTTCACATAGCATAATGTTTTGACGTTCATCCATGTTGTAACAGTTATCAGTATTTCATTCCTTTTTATAGTTGAATAATATTCCATATGTTCCATTGTATGTATATATAGAATTTGTTTATCCTTACCCCCTTTGATGGACATTTGGGTTGTTTCCACCTTTTGGCTGTTGTGAATAGTTATGCTATAAATATGCATGTACATGTTCTTGTTTTGAATACCTGTTTCAGTTCTTTTGGCTATATACCTAGGAGTAGAATTTCTGGGTCATGTGGTAATTCTGTGTTGAGCTTTGTGAAGAGCTCTCAAACTGTTTCCAACAGTCATTAATTTTTAAGTTTGAGAAAATTGATACAGGATATTGTCAGTGGTCTGAGATTTTGTTTATATTAGTGGTTCTGAACTGGGATGATTTTGCCCTTCTAGGGGACATTTGGCAATGTCTGGAGACTTTTTTTTAAAATTGAAGTATAGTTGATTTACAATATTGTGTTAGTTTCAGGTGTAGAGCAAAGTGATTCAGTTATATAAGTATATTTTTTCAGATTATTTTCCATTATAGGTTATTACAGGGTATTGACTATTGTTCTCTGTGTTATACAGCAAATCCTTATTGCTTATCTATTTTATGTATAGTAGTTTATACTGTTAATCCCATACTCCTAATTTATCCCTCCCCCACAGCCTTTCCCTTTTGGTAACCGTGTTCATTTTCTATGTGAGTCTGTTTCTGTTTTGTACATAGATTTATTTGTATTATTTTTTAGATTCCACATATAAGTGGTATTATATAATTTTTATCTTTCTCTGTCTGACTTCATTTAGTATGATAATCTCTGGGTCCATCTATGTTGCTGCAAATGGCAATGTTTCATTCTTTTTTATAGCTGAGTAATATTCCATTGTGTATATGTACCACATGTTCTTGAACCAGTCATCTGTTGATGGATACTTGGGTTGCTTCCATGTCTTGGCTATTGTAAATAGTGCTGCTGTGAACATTGTGGTACATGTACCTTTTCTAATTAAGCGTTTTCATCTTTTCCGGATATATGCCCAGGAGTGGGATTGCTGGATCATATGGTAGTTTTATTTTTAGTTTTTTAAGAAACCTCCATATCGTTTTCCATAACAGCTGTACCAGTTTACATTCCCACCAACAGGGTAGGAGGGTTCCCTCTTCGGAGACAGTTTTGATTATCACAGCTGGTGGCATCCAGTGCGTAGAGGCCAGGGATGCTGCTAAACATCCTATAATGCCCAAGACAACCCCCTACAATAAGAAATTATTTGGTTCTGAATGTCAGTAGTGCCAAAGAAACCTTGGCTTATGTCAATTTTGTTATCATTAGAGTGCTGTTACTTGTTTCTTTACATTCACCTTGTGATTCTCTAATAATTGTGAAACTTTTTTTCTCTGTCAGTTTTCTCTTTGCCATTATGGGAGGAAAATGAAGAATTCTGAATTCTCAACTGTGTTCAATGAAAGCTAAAAAAAAGACTACAAAGATGATGTCTCCAGTCTTTTATATCTTTTTGAAAGATGAAGCAGTGCTTTGGGCAGCACAATAAAAACTGAAGGATGATGCAATGGCTGTAATGTATTTCACTATTGCATCATTTGGGATGATTGTTACCATTCTTCCATTTTCTTATTATTTTAGTCTTTTTTGGCATAGTTGGGAATAACTGATTAAGACATGACAGAGTAATTCCTAGGATAATGAAATAACAAACCTTAAAGATATAGGAAAATTAACCACTTAGATTCCATAATATGTTATAGATTTCTAACAATGTACAATGAACCTATATGGCAATTACTCAATAGAATGAATTTTGTTCTATTTAAAAAATGAATAAATCTTCTTTGTTCTTTAAAACACCTCTAGAAAGACTGAAAGTCATGAAATGTCAGTCTACATATAATTAGAACAGCTCAAAAAAGAAACTTTAGAAACAAAATTTGGATACAGGGGCAATCACGATGCTCTGTAGCTCCCTTGGATGGTATTTCATTCTGTACTCTCAGGAAATGGTAATTAAAAATCAATTTTGATTTCTATTTTGTTTTTAGGAATTTTGCTTCTTTTAAAGCTCTTGGTATATTTCCCTCCTTAGTTCTCAAAATAATTACATCTTATTTTATTTACTTTTTTTTAGGAGAGAAAAAAAATAAAAACTTGGGAAAAACTGTACCTGCCAGCATTAGCAAGAGCTTGAGTTAAGAAGAAATTTGTCAAACTCAACAAATTGAAGCTTAACATCACAAGAGTTGTAGTTACTGACCAGGTGAGCATTAAGAATATATTTTACTTTTATCTATCCTTACAGGATATGTCATAAAGATGTTATGAAAATGTATCAGTTTTAGCACACATGAAAAGCCCAGATTGAGGGGCTCATGAAAGTCATTTAGATAACTAGCAGTTTTGTCCTTGTCTGCTTTCTAGAAACTTTTTTTAAAGTAGTATGACTTAGAACATTTATCGATGTATTTCATTCCAAATGTTAGTATTTTTATTAAACCTTATTATCTTAAAATATTTAGTTTGTTAAATTTTTTCCTGTTTGCTGAGACATCAGCAGACAACATATATTATTTTGTTTACATAAAATTCAAAAGCAACAGAAGTGATCTGTGCTGTTGGAAGTTGGAATTCTACCTTTGCAGGGTGGTAGAGACTAGGAAGGGGATACGAGAGGTTCTTAGGTGCTGACAGGGTTCTCTTTCTTCATCTTGGTGGTGGTTATGGTGGTGTGTTCACTTTGTACAGGTTCCATGGCTGTATCATTTGTGCACTTTTCTAAATATGGACTTGAATGAAGTTTGCTGTACCAACAGTGTTAAATATTCACAGGATTAAATTGTTTGCAGGATTCAACAAATATAATTAGGCAGTAATGATCATAAGTACATTATTGAAAAGTTTGTATATCTGTTCTAACTAGTAAAACAACGTGGACAAATGACTAAAGTAATCTGTTAGCATTTAATTTAGAATATAATTTGTGGTAATACCATTTTCTAAAGCATACACATAGGAAGAAGAGGAATTTTAAGGCATAGTAGCAATTTTTAAGTAGAAAAAAATGCTTCATTGTTTAGAGTATTTAGTTATACTAATATTAATTTTTATAATTTGATTACTCCTTTTTGTGTATTTGTGGCCATACTAGTACCCTTGTTGTTTTTTCCTTTGATTTCTTCTGTGAATTTTTCAAGCTTATAAGAATATCTTCTGTAGTTATTCCAGACATAAAAAACAAATCAGATTGATATTTCAAAGTTAATTCTCTTGGTACTGATTAACTCTAAAATTGTAATTGAGAACAGCAGCCAAATTTCCTTAGTGAAAAAGGTGTATATCTTTACAGTATCTGAAATAAGGCAAACTATCTGTGTGGATTCTAGAACACTATCTTAATGCATTTAATGCAATATTACTTTATATTTCTTTTAGTATAATGAGTTCGTTTTTAAAAAACCTTTGATGCTAATTCAGAGATCCATAATCTGCTCACAATGTCTTTCACATGTAGTTTTGATGATAACTGACAAGCTGTAAGTTAATTAGCACAGAACTTACTAATGAGGATGTTAAAATTTAATTTAAAAGTGAGGACTTTTATTTGTACACTCTGGACAAATTGAAGGAAATTCAATCATACATATGATAAGCATTTCAGGCACTTTTTCCTCATTCAGGTACTTTATTAGGTAACAATAAGAAAATATAATTAACTTAATGATAGCAAAGTTTTGAAAGTATGCTAAGATTGCTTGTCTTTAAAACTGGGGATAACCCAAAACCAAAGCAGTAAAATAAGGTCTGTTAATTAGCATGGAAGACAGCTTCTTGAATTAATATGTGGTGTTAATTAACAGGAAGTCTGATGTTGTGTTGTAATTACCACCAATATTTTTGACATACTGAGTGACTGAAGGTGAATTATGTAGATAGCAATTGAGTAAACACTTTTGTGCTTAGGAACGTTTTTCTTTGTTTCTGTTTTCTAGAAATATGGACAGACTGCTTAGACTTGGAGGAGGTATGCCTGGACTGGGCCAGGTTAGTATATAGACTCTACGTGTTTCTTTGTGTGTAAACTATAAGCCTTTCACTAGTTATCCAAAGAGAAAAAAAAGTCAGTCCCAAGAAAATCGCCTCACAGATAACCTTATCGTAAGAAGCTTCCCTTACTGCTGGTTACTGTATTCCAACACTAAATAACTTGTGGAGAAAATGTTCTATTTTCTTAATTTAATTTTCTCCCAGGAATAAGAATTTTCTCTATTTGCTTTGATTTAAAGTTTTGGGATATGCGAGATTATCAAACTTGCCTATTGGTTAAAAAAAAAAAGACTCAAAGTATCTTATTTCTGGGTTTACAATGTAGACTTTAAAAGTAACACGTGAAAAAGTAAACATGGCATACTCTTGGCAAGATCCAGAAAACCCATAGAGTGTTTGTATGTACAGTCTTAACACTGATAAATTCCTTCTAGTAATTATGATACATGGATGAATTAATAAGTAATACCTCTCTTTTCTTTAAATTTGGTATATATGGTTCCTTTTTACATTCTTATTAAAATTAAGTGAATTTTCAGTTGTTTTAATATTATCATCTGTCTTGTTCCATACTGTTGGGGCAAATGGCCTCCAGATAGATTTCTATCTCAGGATATTCTATCTGCTTTCAGCTAAAGAAGAAATTTCTACCTCTTTTGAATTCTACACTGATTATCTTTCCAGTCCAACATTTACAAAAGAGATGACTATGTTAGACTTGAATGTATTTTATGTCCAAATTTTGGGACTATTTTTATAACCCACCTTAAGAACCCTTTTAGTTGTCAGCTGTTTCCTATTTCCATATCACTGTCAATGACTTTGTCTTCCTTTATGCAAAGTAGTCTAATATTTTGACTATTAAGAAATAGTTTTGTTTGAGATTTCATGAAATTTTCAATGTTTTGTAGGTTCTTTTACAAGGGTCTATCATGGTTTATGACTAATAAACCTTTTCCTTTTAGAAAGTTGAAATCATGTGATCCTATATTGCATCCTTGCACAGACTTCAGTTATTTTTCGTTTGCTTTTGTTAGTTTTTTTTTTTAAACAGTGAGGTTCATTTATTTATTTATTTATTTATTGGCTGCGTTGGGTCTTCGTTGCTGCACGTGGGCTTTCCCTAGTTATGGTGAGCGAGGGCTAGTCTTCATTGCGACACGTGGGCTTCTCATTGCGGTGGTTTCTCTTGTTGCAGAGCATGGGTTCTAGGTGTGCGGGCTTCAGTAGCTGTGCCATGTGGGCCCAGTGGTTGCGGTGTGCGGGCTCAGTAGTTTGGCTCGCAGGCTTGAGAGCGCAGGCTCAGTAGTTGTGGCGCACAGGCTTAGTTGCTCCGCGGCATGTGGGATCTTCCCTGACCAGGGATTGAACCCATGTCCCCTGCATTGGCAGGCAGATTCTTAACCACTGTGCCACCAGGGAAGCCCCTACTTTTGTTAGTTTTGAATATTTCTCATGTTCCTTTACTGTAAGCGTGTTTCTTCATGATTCTTCATTTTTGTAAGATCTGTGTAATACATTCTCTTAAGAGGCCTAAGCCTCTCTGAACTTGACCCTTCTAAAGCTGCTTCCATACATTTACAAACATTCTAGGTAGCTTCTAGAATTTCCCTAATTCATTCTGAAATTAGCAATAACAATGTGTAGGCATATAAAAGTGTCAGAAGTGAACTGAGGTGGTATGTAGATACTGCACATTTACCTGCAAATTACAGGTAAAGATGTTGCCTTAGTAGAATTCTTAAGGGGAGTTGCATCAAATTTAAATACCAAAATAACTTTTTCCTTAAGTAGTAGATGCAATAAATTATATATCCATGCCAGAAATCCATGCTGGGAAATTGTTGGACATGAAATAATGGGTTGACTGACCACCAATTGAGTTACATCATATCTCAATGACCGCTGCAAACCTTTGCATTGAGTGGAAAACTAAGTGTTGGTTCAATAACCTGTCCTTGGTTTTGGATAATTTAATCAACACGTATCCCCCCTCAGTTTGTATTCTTATTTGAACTTAAAAATGTGGTGCCTGAGAATCTGATATTTCATGTGTTTCATCTTCCTGATTAGATGACAGACTCTCAAGAGAATGATTTATGGGATTCTTATTTCTGTGTTACCTCCTTTATCAAATACTAGGTGTTCAATGATTAAATTTTTTCTTAAAAGTTAATTTACTCTTGGTCTAGACTAATATGACAAACGGATATGATGTTACTTCTAAAACATGAAATGTTAAGTGTATTATTTTTTAACAAACAGGAAAAAAGTTAAGTGTATTGTTTATTTTTTAATTTTTTTTGGCTGCGTCGCACGGCATGCGGGATCTTAGTTCCCCAACCAGGGATCGAACCTACACCCCTGTGGAGGAAGTGGGGAGTCTTAACCACTGGACCACCAGGGAAGTCCCGAGTGTATTTATTTTTAATACAAAGTCAAAGACCTTTGGATTGATAATAGCTACTCTTTCCATTAGATAATGCGTAGCAGCCAATAAAAGTAGAAAGGATGGGCTTCCCTGGTGGCGCAGTGGTTGAGAGTCCGCCTGCCGATGCAGGGGACGCGGGTTCATGCCCTGGTCCGGGAGGATCCCACATGCGGCGGAGCGGCTGGACCTGTGAGCCATGGCCGCTGAGCCTGCGCGTCTGGAGCCTGTGCTCCGCAGTGGGAGAGGCCACAACAGTAAGAGGCCCGCGTACTGCCAAAAAAAAAAAAAAAAAAAAAAAAAAAGTAGAAAGGAGATAGAAGTTGTTTTACCCCTCCAAAAATCAATGGGAAATGTTACTATCTTACCATATAATATAAAAGTCAGAATTTCCTCATAAATAGGGGCAGGTTACTTGCTGTTAACTTTGCAGATGGCTCTTTTAAAACATGGGAATAGTAGCAGAACAGGGTTTTCCATCCATTCTACTGACTCAACTTTCTTTGACTAGAAATGACCTTTCTCTTTTCCATGGCTAATGCTTTGACTTATTCTCTGATCCCATCCTCTCTTGAAACCTTGCTCATCTCCACTGACCCCTTCCTCTGCCTACAAAGATGTTTAAGTGTCCTGTATCCCCAAAACAACAAAACTTCACTGCATTCTGCCATTAAACCTTTTCTTCCATTTATTTCAAGAATTCCTGAAATAATAGCTTATACTCACATATTCTACCTCCTTACCTCCATTGACTCTCATGAGATTATATTCTGGCCTCCTCCTTCATTACTGTACTGGAATTGTTCAAATTGCCAAGTCTATTGGCTTACTTTTAGTTCTTTTTTCACGAGACTTTAATATATCACACTGTTCACAATGTCTTTTTTAAGAATTTTTCTTCCATTAGCTTTATCATGGTACTTTTTCCTAGTTCTTCATTATGGTATGCATACCTATAAAACAACTTAAAGTTTTTCTTAAATATTACATTTTTAAATGTTAATACGTGAACAGTAGCAGGCTAAAATCATTAAATCTGTCTACAATCCCCTACTTCAATATAACTTATCAGTAGTGAAGGAGAAACAGATGTTTTATTAGAACTATTAAAATTTGTAAACAAATAGCTTTTATTTCAAATGTGTGTTTTTATTTACTTTGCTAAAGTGCTTATGAACTTGAAATTACTGAAAGATGTGAGATGATTGTATTAAAAGTATTTACTGCTGTAATTTGACTGCTCAGTTGTCTTCATAACTATCCCAACTTAGGTCTTGGCAACTAAACTATTTCCAAAAGTAGTCAAGACTAAACCCAACAGATGGGCCTAACCAAAGCATAGTCTGCAGCATCTAAAAGTGTTTTTTAAATAGTTTAATGATAGTTATTTTATTTATTTATATTTTGGCCATGCCACGTGACTTGGGGGATCTTAGTTCCCCAACCAGGGTTCCAACCTGTGTTCCCTGAAGTGGAAGCTTGGAGTCCTGACCAATGGACCGCTAGGGAATTCCATCTAAAAGTTTTTGTTTAAGTCTCTTGGTCCATTTTAGCTTTAGAAAGAGTCAAGATAAGCTTAAAAGTAAATGAGGGCTTCCCTGGTGGCGCAGTGGTTGAGAGTCTGCCTGCCAATGCAGGGGACACGGGTTTGTGCCCCGGTCTGGGAAGATCCCACATGCCGCAGAGCGGCTGGGCCCTTGAGCCATGGCCCCTGGGCCTGCACGTCCGGAGCCTGTGCTTCGCAACGGGAGAGGCCACAACAGTGAGAGGCCCGCGTACTGCCAAAAAAAAAAAAAAAAGTAAATGAAACTTAAGTAAAATGTCAATGACATTTATTATCTTGTCTTGTACTTACATTCTTTAGGCCAGTATTTTGAGTTTTCATGTGTTGGGTGTTATGCTATAGGGAATACCAAGGTAAACAAGAACATTGTTACTTAATCTAGGGACCTAACATTCTAGTAGACATACAGCAGTTATGTTTCAAGTGCCTGGCACATACTAACTCTTTGAAAATAGCGAATACCAGTGCTTATTGTAAATAATGTGATTTGTAGAGGATGTGGTACTTAATTTTTTTTCCCAAAAAAGGAAAGTGAGACTGAGTTGAGGAAATGATGCTTGAGCTAAATTTTGGAATGTAGCCAACACATATTGAGAAAGGCCTGGAGAATAGGTGATGTGAGGGGAAAAATGGGAAAAGAATCTGGTAAGGGAGTTTGGAGTAGATTATAAAAGGTACTGAATGCCATTTTTAGTGATTTTTACTTTTTCCCTAGTAGATGTACTTTAATGAAGACTTTTTTTAAGCAAAGCTGTGGGATAACTGAATCTGTGTTTTTGAAAAGTAATTCTAGTGGTAGTTTGAAGAATAGGTAGGAGGAAAGAGTTTGAAGGTAAAGTCATCAGTTATATGAAATATTTTTGTCTTTTAATCTTCTAGGTACATAGTAGGGTTATACTTTTCCATCTTTTTTTGTGTGTGTGTATGGTACGCGGGCCTCTCACTGCTGTGGCCTCTCCTGTTGCGGAGAACAGGCTCCGGATGCGCAGGCTCAGCGGCCATGGC